TCCTCTCTCTATATATATCTATCACTCTGAGGCTAATTTGAATTTCGAATGTCGTCACCGTGTTCTGTATCACTTGAATACTGATTCATAAGTGACTACTAAAGTACAAATTGGATGATAGTTCTTGGTATTTATTACTAATTCACATACAAAATTCGATTACTTCTAATTACCACACTACTTCATTGAATACTTTAAGTACTGTACAAATTTTCCCGGTCAATATATGGCTTATATTACTGTCCTGTTATTTTGTAATGGAGACATAGACCTACTATTCCGCCTTTGGTGTATTTTATAGACCATGATAATCTTTTACTACATTTCATTGATGTTAAGTGACATGTTTGTAAGAATTAACTATCCCATCTGTCTATTAGACAGAATTTCAAACTATATTCTCAAATTTCCCGTTTTTTTTATTCTTTATTTTCACCACTATGTCACTTCAATTTATTTTTTTCTGATTATTTATATGTCATTTTGTTAATGTAATAACATTTCAGCTTGAGCTAACATATATTTCTGGTAAGCTGCATATGTTGGAACAATGTCTATCCGTTTGAGATAGGATCAGCAGTTGCAAAGCAATCGAAATATTCTAGATCAGCTTGGTAACTAGAAGTAGTAGTAGTGTGAGTTGCGTATGCCTAACCACCGACTGCCTCATCGAGCTGTGTTTTGCGTTGCAGGGATAAGTTAGAAGAACGTTACGGACGGACAAACCAAAACATGGCACAAATCCATGAAGTCACTAACAAGCGGACTGAGTCATGTAGGTAGGTATTGACTACCTGGTTGGGACCCGTGAGATGATAGCAATCGATGGTTAGAGACCTTGAATGATATGACTCGAAACCGTTTGCAGTGTTACAGGTGCATTCACTCTTTATGTTCTCCCGAATCCTAACCTTCTGAATTCCTCATCACTTTATCTTCTTCGCTTTAAGTTTATTTTACTAGATTTTACTTCTTAATAAATATCCTTGAAGCCTATTCTCTCCGATTACTGCTAATACTTTCACTGCCTCTGCTACTATGGGATTTGAATTGACAATCGCTTCTGTGTGCTAATATGATATGGCGACTTGAAATGATGTACGTGCGTACGTACGAAGTTCTACATTGCTGTTGATTGATTGACTGTGAGTAGTGTGAACAGTAGTAGTAGTTGTTGTTTTAGTGCAAGTAGTAACTAGTACAGTTTCACAGCTGAAATCATGATGAAATTGGATTGTAGAATTACATCCAACATAGTTATAAATGTTGAAAACCAACAAATACTGATAACCTGGAAGCACTGGACATCCGTTTCCTCCTCGTATGGGACTGCTCAGCAGTGCGCATCCACGACCCCTGCGCCTCGCAGGATTAGAACCCAGGACCTTCGGTATTGTGCGCGAACGCCTAACCATCGGACCATTGAGCCGGTATCTAACGGTGTTAATGTCTAACTTCGATCAATTCACGGAGTAGCGCAAACTCATACACAGTCTTCGGTAGTTACTGTCTACACCCGAACAGGTTGAACTTCACAGGTCACTTCTTCCTACTAGAACTCGGAGAAGATTCCTCACGAAGCTAGTCACTAGTGAGCACAGGTAATTTGCATTACGGGGTTGTGAAGATTGTTAAGTTACACATTTTTGAAACCATAAATCAATCAATGTTAGAACACCATTAGGAACCTGGAAGCACTGGACGGCCGTTTCGTCCTGGTATGGGACTCCTTAATACCGAAGGTCCTGGGTTAGAATCCTGCGGGGTGCGGGAGTCGTGGATGCGCACTGCTGAGGAGTAGTCCCATACCAGGACGAAACGGCCGTCCAGTGCTTCCAGGTTTCTAATGGTGGTCTAACATTGATCGATTTATGGTTTCAAAAAATGTGTAACTTAACAATCTTCACAACCCCGTAATGCAAATACTCATAACTTGAGTGCCAATGAAATGAACAACTGGAGCCATAAATTTCTCTGTTAACATTTTCTTCACTAGGCTTATTATAATAATTACTGGCAAATTTCAAATGTTTTTCAATTTCTATGATGTTTTATTTGATAATCAATCTATCAATAATTTACAAGTTCTTTATCTTGCGATGCCGCTTTGTTTATACACAAGTTTAAAATAAGTTTTTGTATGTGTTTAGTTATCAACGTACTGATGATGTTTGATATTTTCGAAATTATGTTCTTAACATTACTAATCCCTTATATGTATCTACTATCTCATAATAAGTGTTATTTACACAATATTTTAGGTGATAGTGATGTGCTCTCTATCTGTAGAAATAACTGAATTGATTACTATTGTAGTGAAGGAGAACACCGGTGAGGGTAATCGAATTTTATTTAACGAAAATTACAGAGTTACTCAGTAAAATCGGAAAACCATATCGTAAATCGTTAATTTGCAAAATATCAGTTCATCATATCGAACTGGACTGTTCCTGTTGCAAAACATCAATCCATTGTCACTATTCATGCGTTTCATACAAATTCCATTGTGTTTCCGCTCTTCCTTTCTTGATCTTCCCCCATCTTCTGCTGCCAGACATTCCGTTTACACTCACGTCATATACTACTTATAAGTAGCTCGCACACACTATAATCATTTGTACATAATTTTGTTTATATTTATAAGTCAAATTAAATTAAATCTTTTCAAACTGCATTTTGATTTCTATCAAATGACATGTTAATATCTGCATTATGGGGTTGTGAAGATTTTTAAGTTACACATTTTTGAAACCATGAATCGATCAATGTTAGACCACCATTAGAAACCTGGTAGCACTGAGAGACGGCCGTTTCGTCCTGGTATGGGACTCCTCAGCAGTGCGCATCCACGACTCCTGCACCCCACATTGATCGATTCATGGTTTCAAAAATGTGTAACTTAACAACCTTAACAACCCCGTAATGCAAATTACCTGTGCTCACAAGTGACTAGCTTCGTGAGGAATCTTCACCGAGTTCTAGTGAGAAGTCGTGACCCGTGGAGTTCAACCTGTTCGGGTGTAGACAGTAACTACCTAAGACTGTGTATGAGGTTGAGCAACTGCGTGAATTGATCAAGTTAGACATTAACAACATTAGGTACCGGCTCAGTGGTCCGATGGTTAGGCGTTCGCCTACAATACCGAAGGTCCTGGGTTCAAATCCTGCAGGCTGCATGAGTCGTGGATGTGCACTGCTTAGGTAGTCCGTTACCAGGGGGAGAGGGCCGTCCAGTGCTACCAGGTTTCTAATGGTGGTCTAACATTGGTCGATTCATGGTTTCAAAAATGTTAATATCTATCATGAAACGATTCAACATCTTGTATTCGATTAATAAGTTAGGTCAAAATCCAGGAACCCATTTAAATCTTGTTAAAGCTTAACTCTGTACAAATAAAGTATTTTATATTATTCGATAAAGCAGCTCAGATTTAGATAACTAGTACTGTGAATAATGTTCTTGGCAGAATATATCCATATGGAAGGATTTCAAGTTCAATCAAGAAGTATCATTACTATCAGTAATATCGATCAGACTGTTCTGTTCTTTGTGGTTGAATACAACTGACCCACTTGATGAAGTATGGTCTTTCGCAAAGAACTCCAACTGTTGAAGTGCCACAAATCATCAGGCTTAGACGAATTACTCCTGGCTAACTCTAAGAGTAGTAGAGAACTTCTTGTCAGGGAACTGGCTGGGTTATTCGTAAAATTTTAGAAATTAGAGATTGTTCTAATATTCTGGGATGCGCTGATAGTCATCCGTATATTAAAAAAAGGTTTACATCACCAATCCATCAACTATCATGAGATTAGCCTACATCTGATTGCAATGTGTCTAAATTCATTTCAACATCACCCAGTAAAACTAATTGAAAAAAATGAACGCTGTGACCAATTTGTTACTATAGCCAAAATATTCATCAAAGTCATGTAAAAGTAGTCGAATTTCAAATTGTTCAAATAAGTGAAGACTGTGAAAGTTTGTCCATGCATAATGACGGGGTCTTTCTGATACTTATCAAATGATATTCACAAAAAAAACATCTAGATTGACTTTCCTTTAAAATGAATAACATAATTCGTATGTTTCATGTGACTAATGGACAAGAAATAGAATAATAGTTACGTATTAATTACTGACCTACAAACCTTGTCTCTATCCTTTGGTAGTTCATATTATTGAAGTAACGTTTAATTGTTAATTTGCCGTCATTCCCTAGTACCCATCTCCTAACAACAGCATTGCTTAATCGGTTGTCCAATGATACACAAACAATGCCTCGAAAACCAGTAACCTACGAATATCTACTACTCTGACTGGCCATGTTTCACAGCCATAAAATATGGCGGAGCGAACTACTGAGCAGTACACTCGTCCTTTGCTTAGCAAACAGATATCCCATCTATGCCATAAGTGACGCAAGTTTGCAAAAGACAATCGAGACTTTTGTATCCATGCTAAGATTTTGTCAGTCACCAGGCCATCAGGACAAATGAGACTCCCCAGATAAGTGAAGCGGTCTACACACTCGACTACTTCCCTCCCTATCACTAGTTCATGTACCGATACAACTCAATCCTGAAGCAACACATTGCATTTCGTTAGAGGAGAATCGCATCCCAAACATACTTGCATTGCTGTTTAAAATAGTCAAGAGATACTACATTTTTGTCAGCGTCTTCACCAAGTAGAACTATGTGTCATCGGTATATTCTAATAGTTGACTGTATACCCGACCAATAATATCGTGATAGAAAAAAAAACCAACTTTATGGACATACAATAAAAAATATATATATATATATATATATATATTTTTAAAAAAAAATCATAATACAAGAATATCAATACTACATTGAATTAAAAAGCAGTACAAAAAAAGTTCACATAAAAAAATCTTCCTGTATCTCTCTCTCTCTCTCTCGGATGTATTATTATTTATTCATTTCAAGTAATGATGAATGAATGAATGAACAACAACAACAACCACTCTCTCTTAGGCGACAGTAGTAATTCTTGTTCGTCCAATATTCACTTGCCAAACATTAAGATCTTCATAAGCTTCAATTACTTCATTAAGCTAGGGAAAAAATAAAATTGAATTACAAATTTCAATGTTAACTTTTTATTCTTATATGCCAGTAGTGATCATGTCGATTCGTTGCATAAGAACTAGTCGTTACAGGTTTTTGCTAGTTATGTGTATTTAGTTTGATAAAAGTTTTTCCAATCTAATCGAGTAATAACAACAACATTGTGTGTTATGTATTGTAAATTTGCAGTCAGTCAGTCAGTCAGTTGCAACGAAGAACTTCGTACTTCGTATGTACATAAGTTCATGTTGCCATACCACATTATTAGCACAGAGACGCAAACGTCAAATCAAATCCCATAGTGATAAAGATAGTAGCGGTATTAATGTTAATAAAGAAGACTAGGGTTCGAAGATATAATTCAAGAAGTATATAATTCAGTGAGATAAGGTTAGAAAGACTGAGGTAGAGGTGCTGGCTAATCCAGATTAGGATTTGAGAGAGCTCAAAGAGTGGATGCACCTGCGCCATTGCAAACGATTTTGAGCCATGTCATTCAAGGTCTCTAACCATTGATGACTTTCGTCTCGCGGACCCCAACCAGGTAGTCTACATCTACCAACATGACTCAGTCCACTTGTCAGTGACTTCATGCATTTCCGCCATGTTTTGGTCTGGCCGCCTCTAACTTTCTTCCAACCTACTCCTACACCACAAAACATAGCTCGTCGGGGCAGTCGGTGGTTAGCCATACGTAACACATGTCCCAACCACCTCAACTGATGAAGTTTCACCACTTCATCTATTGATCTGCCATCCTTACCTAGTACTCGTTTCCTAACGACAGCATTGTAAATTTGCGCTGCAAAATGTTTGTGATGATGACTGTATATAACAAGAGAACTAGTTCCGGATTCATACTTCCGAATTCGATCAACTCTTACTTGATGATTTATAGCCAGTATGGCTCCAAAATTGAAAGCATGTTAAATTTTTTATTATAATATGACTAAACATAGAGACAAAGAAATATTTTTATAATGAATTTAGTGTGAATATTTCTACCCAATAGATGTATAGTGCTTTGATTTTTCTGTCTTGTCATTTTATACAGCGCGACAAATTGACATGCATAACAAATGACTGTTGTTAACATAGCAATAAAAAAATACCTGACGATTGAAAAATGGTGAGAAGGATTCATAATAAGCTAAGGTTGATGATGCCGTTCCTTTGCTTCCATTACGTTTTCTGGATTATTCAATTGTGTAGTTTTCACTATATAGTGTTACATAACATCAGTGCTTATTTCATCACACGGAAGTGAACTGTTTGGTTAGTAGTTTACCATGTTCAGTTACCCACCCGGCTTAAGATGACATGTGTGTGTGTAATCAGTCACTTTAGGTCCTTTTGACAGAAATCCATGAAGTCATTGACGAGTGGACTGAGCCATGTCGGTAATTGTCGACTACCTGGTCGGGGGCTGCGAGATGATAATAATCGATGGTTAGAGAACCTGAATGAGATGGCTCAACATCGTTCGCAATGACGCCGTTGCATTTATTCTTTGTGCTCTCTCAAATCTTAATCTTCTAGATTCTTCAACACCTATAGTTTTGTCTTTCTAAACTTATCTCACTGAATCACACTTCTTGAATAATAATATCTTCTAATTCTAACCTCTCCGATTACTTCTAATACCTTTAATACCTCTTCTACTATTGGATTTGAATTGACAATTACATCTCTGTGCTGATGTGGTATGGCGACATGAACTGATGTACTTACGTACGAAGTTCTACGTTGCATCTGGCTGACTGACTGACTGACTGACTGACTGACAGTTTTATTTTTGAAGATTGACTTGGATGATATGTTTCTAGCAACTTTATTTAACATTCTTTTGGTTACCTCAATTAAAGAATTTTAACATTGTCCAAATTATACTACTTTGTATTCGTCAGCATGGATTTGATGGGATTAATAATATGTCTTTTCATCATTCAGTTTCTGGTTTGTACCCCCCCCCATGTAAGCGCGAACTAAGCATATATTGGATGTTGTTTGGCTCACAGATGATAACACAACTAAAAACACTTGATACTTTTACAAATTTCCAGTGATAGATCACTAAAGCATGGGGATATTTCTTGAATAGCCAATTGTGTAGAATGGAATTAGTCGATAAAAAGTAATTTTTTTTTAATGAACAAAAATGAATGATCAGTTGAAGTAGACATGTAGAGTAAATTTCTCGATCGACAGACATATGTTATAACAGATACAAATTGGTGAACAAACAAATTTTTTGGTATATACTTTAAAAAACAAACAAATCAAATTACCTGAGCTGGTGTATATCCTTTAGTTGCACAACGTTCAACAATATCAGCAATTCGTGCTGTTCCATCACCTGCAGCAGTTAATTCACGAACAATATGGTAAATTACATCTTTGTATGACTGAGGACTGGTAGAAAAAAAAACGAACAAACAAACGTAAATAGCTGTTATTAATGTAGTATTTGTAGAAAAAAAAATACAATTTCACTGACATGACAGAACCAATATTTAACGACAAGAGTATAGCACGAATTTAACTCGAGGGAAACAGGCGAAAAATCAAGTAAATGATATACATATAAACTGTTAGAGGAGTTGGTGGAGAAAATTTGTAGCTCAGGTGGATGATTGTGGTGGTGTTTTGTTCTCTGAGCTGGATGTGGTTTTGGTTGTGGAGCTTTCATTGTTCTTCTGAACAACATCATCAGCACAAACTTCAGATAGAAGTGTATGTTAGAGGAGCACTTATTTAACTTTGTGAACTATTTACATGAGTTAGTTAAACACTTTAATGTAGCACTGTAAATTGTATGTTGTTAGGGACGTTAGATCCCCAGAACTTACTTCGAAAAGGTCCTAATTTTGTAATTTATTTCTGAAATTTTGAATTTTTATGTTTTTACGCCAAGAAACGACGCTTAGTTGACCTACAGCTTACATATCCCACTTGGAAGATCCTTGACCGTGATTGGCTGGTGTGTTATTTTAGTACGCTATTTTGTGGCTCTCACTAAGGGCGTCCCTATCATTGTATAAATAAGCTTGAGTTGTGTGCCTGTGGACATTGTACTTTCTGGTTGCATGTGAAATACATTCTCTACATCTTATCAAGGACTTCTTTCTCTAGTTAATCGGGCCCCGGGGACGATCGGATTGATTTTCGCTTCGTTTATCGAGTAAGATGAACTCGTAATAGCATCAAGCATATCATATGTTTAGATCAAATTATTTATTAACTGGCATTAAGTCCAATTTAGTTTAATTGAGTCAAAATTTGTCTATTTTTAATCAGACATAGTTTTTGATCTATTTCAATGTTGAGTAAACATGAACAACAAGTGGACAGATGTCAGATAGTGAGATATAAAGAAATTGTAGAAAATATAAAATAGAAAAGAATAGAATAGAGAATAATAAATAATATACTTAAGCTAATTAATTATCTTACTAGCAATGGATAAAAAAATTTCAAGTTATGTTGAAGCAGACAAAACAATACATAATTTCAATTTATTTGTATTGATTGTCTGTCTGACTGAATCTTCCTATTGATGTTTAGAATGGCAATTGATCAGTCTCTTTTTAGTATATACATCCTTTGTGGATTGTGTTTAATATTGCCATCAGTTGGTTAGCAGTAGAATCAAAGATGCAGGTGTTTCATTCTGTTTGGGACTAGTCAGTTGGATGGACCAGCATTGTAGAGTTGATGTTCTCTGCTTTTAATGCTTGTGATTTGATGGCAATATTGAGGTAATCCGCTCAGTCAGTCAGTCAGTCAATTACAACGTAGAACTTCGTACGTACGTTCGTAAGTCAGTTCAAGTCGCCATACCGCATTAGAGGTAATCCGCTCAGGATGCATATATACCACCACAAGCAATCCTTAGCATCAATGGGAAGATTTAGGCAATTCATACAAATGAATTACAATTTACTTCATTGCACAAACCAGTGACTATACGGATTCAATAGCTAAGTAGATAACACGATGGCGTTTGAAGAGGACGGTACTAGATTCGAATGTACATCAACTCTAGCATGCAGACATATTCAGCTGAAAAGTCCTAAAAAGGATGAAACACGCATCCTGGACTTTACTGTTAGCCATCATCCATTCCTGCTTACAATACACACTAAATGATAGGGAATCCTTTTCAAAAAAGACTGACTTGAGTACATAGAGATAAAAAAAACACGTTTTGAACGAAATACATGCAACTTCTGAAAGTTTTAGGAACTTAATTATCAAACTTATTATGAATAACTAGATACAGGTGGAAGTGCTTGCATGTTTAACGTTTACCAGTGAATCCTTGACACAAAAACTAGGCATCACTAATGTGAAGTTTTCATCAATAAAATATCATCATTTTCAAACTGTAGTGCAAATAACATCATTACTGGTTATAGTCATAGGTAGATAATTCAGCTACATCACGATTATAAAAGGATTAAAATGAGCAAAAAACGTGTGAATGTATCACATGCGAAATTCCAAACACATCTGATACACATTAAAATAACTTACCGCCCTGAATGATTGGCATCTTCGTAAGGAGATGTGAGGATTGATGAACGGCTAGCCTCCATAAGACGCATAGCTTCATCTATATCGCCTTTACTAACCTCTGAAGCTGCACGAAGTCGAGCACGGGCTGTAGACAGTCTCATTATAGCCAGCAAAGTTCTATCAATAGTATATTAGAAGAAAGAAAAGTACTTGACAATGGTGTGCGAAACAGTACGGAAGGATAATTTTTAAACCTCCTTCTTAGGACTAAAATGACAGGGCTCAAAATATAAAACTGAGCTATAAACCCATCAGTCGATACTTTGAAAATTTTTTAGTCATGATGGGTATAGAATCTAATAACTAAGAATAACGAGATGCTAAAACAAACATTTTGATAAACAAAGGAATTTCTCCTCATAGACCTCTAACTTAAATCAATTATGAGACGAGTAAGCATGGCTCTTCACTTACGACAGTTACTCGCAAGATACTTAGTTAATGACTATGTGAATATTCACTCAACATCAACTACGACGTAAGGAATTTGAAACACGTTTATTCAGTTTGGTGTTTCAAAAGCTAGGTGATATTTTTTGTGACCTCTTGTCCAAAAGATTTATTTATGTTGATTGTTAACACTAGATTAATCTATACCAAAATTTGTTGTGATTTGAAGTTAGTTAGTTGAATAAACCATTTTATAGAGGGATAAATACAGAAATGTACTGATTTAACATCACTTATATAGTTATAGATTTCTACTGTTTCTTCAAGGCAAACTAGATTCAAAAGTTGAGTCGGTCAGTCAGTTACGACGTAGAACTTCGTACATAAGTACATCAATTCAAGTCGCCATACGACATCAGTACAGAGACTCAATTGTTAATTCAAATCCTATAGTAGTAGAGGTAGTAGAAGTATTAGCAGTAATCTGAGAGATTAGGGCTCGACGATATTATTCAACAAGTAGAATCTAGGGAAATAAACTTAAAAGGAAGAAGATAAAGGTGATGAGGAACTCCGAAGGTTAGGATTTGAGAGGACACAAAGAATGAACGCACCTGCGCGATTACAAACGATTTTGACTCATGTCATTCATTCAGGGTCTCTAATCATCGATTACTATCGTCTCGTATTCTACATTTACCAACATGACTTAATACACCTGTCAGTGACTTCATGAACTTTTGGTTCAAAAGGTGAACTGAGAAATTAATAAATTTAAAAAGTCGAACTGTTTAAGTTGACATAACAAAGTAATATAAAACTTACCTTGCACTTGTATAAGTCATTTCTTTGTTTGCACGTGCCTCTTTTCTCATTTCTACATAAGCACCAACCAGATAATCTGCTAAATGAGCAGGAACAGCTGGAGCAGGTTGAGATTTAGCAACAGCGATAAGACGACGTAGTTCAGGAAGCGACAATAATTGTTGTTGGTGGCTTGTACTTGAAGTTGAATCAATCTGTGATTCAGTTGCTGTTGGAGCAGATCCATGCATATGCACAAAAGTAATGTGTTGCGCTAATCTTAGATCATGTTCCCTAAAATAAAAAAAGATGTAAACTGTTACAGCCTTTAAGTCAAAAGATGAGCGAAAACCTATGAAAATCCAATAATCTCCATATATCTTTCTGTTATAATTCTCGCTTAGTAGAACCCAGCTTTTCCTATTACACAGTATTCAAGGACACCAATCCTCTCGACAAGTCCCGAAATCAGAACACGGTTGAACAGGGAAGAGGTCATATTCCAAATAGCAAGGTTGAATGGAAGTAAGAAGGAAAGCAGAATAGGAACAACGTTAATATCTTTATAGTTTTTACATGAGAAGACCCTAGAATGTTCCTCCAGTATCGACTAGCGCTGATTGGACGAGAATTAGCCAATCAGCGTGAAGCGACGCAAATCATGCTTTAATCCAATCTATGTCCCGGCTAACACTTTCTGTCTGACAATAATCATCTGCTCATTAGTGAATAGATTTGAGATGTAACTCCTGGAGTTGTAGTGAGAAGTCGTGACCAGCAGAGTTTAACTATGTTGAATGTGAGACATTTATTCAGCCACTACAGTAGATAACTGGTTAGTAAACATACTAAACCGTCGGATATAGTCTAAGTGGTCTAGAGGTGAAGCGTTCTTGTGTAATCAAATATTCTAAGTTCCGTTTTCGGATTTAGGATCGTGGATGACCACTGCTGAAGAGTCATTTACTAAAAAGAAATGGTCATGCAATGCTTTGAGGTTCTGAACGAAAAGATTGCAATGTCTATAAACCCATTCGACAAGAAAGAGACATATTGGGCAATGATTTAACCAATAAAATTATCCGAGTATAAAAATAGTTATGATTTTCAGAGGCATAGCAGAACACTGATACTAAACAGATGCACAAATCAAAATAACTCAAAATTGAATTCAGTCCATTAGACTAGAGTAACACCGCTAAGTGTAGTGAGTTTTAAGATAAGATTCTCCAGTGATGATTTTGCACATCAATTATGAAAGAACAAAATAGATAAGAATCAACTGCACTTACCGGTCAGGTTTATCTTGAATTAACCACAATAAATCAAAACGAGAAAGCAAGGCTGCGGGTAAATCTACATTTTGTTCAACACTTTTATTAGGATTATAACGTCCGTAAGCTGGATTAGCTGCAGCAAGAATTGCAACTCGTGCATTCAGTGTTGTGAGTATACCAGCTTTAGCTATACTGATAGTTTGTTGTTCCATTACTTCATGTATAGCTGTGCTATAATATTGATTATAAATAAAATTAAATGTTAAATTAATTTTCTAAAATATTAAAGCAACTCAATTGGAAGATAAAAGAAAACAAAATACAAAGCTACTAATCCCACACAATGACGATAGTCAATTTAATCTAAGTACCTGACAAAAAGTGCAACTAACTATGAAACACTGCAGTTACATAAATGCCGATATCATGCTATTTTTTATGTTGAAGTAGATGAATTTGGAACTATAAAAAAGTGAATACCTTGATCATTAAACCACTTTTATTCAGTAGTTTATAAAATAACACTATATATTTACATTAGTGTAAAAAAAGACTTTAATAAAAGTCTCAGTTCAGTTGTTTGGCCGAAAATGAATGATATAATGAAGAGTATGATTAAGAGTAGTCAAATTGATATTTTGCACAACTTTGTCTACTTGGTTTTACATCGGGCACTCGGGGTTCTGTTGTAACGCTGCTACGTAAACTCTTCAGTCCTAACGGCGTCCAATTCAATATCACAATACGACCCAAAAGGCTTTTTCCAAATCTCCTAGAAATCAGAACGTAACACCGTGGAAGGAAGTTGTTTATTGGGTCGAATACAGAAGAAGTAGGCAGGGGAAACGGAATTATTAAGTCTTCCAGATAGCGCGTATTTATACACTAAGGTCGAATAAGAAAAAGCATCAACGTCTGTGACATTGACAATTTAGGACGACCAATAGAAAAGAACATTTGAATGACATTGACCGTCCAGATGACCAATAAGAGGTAACATTGAAGTATTCGACCCTGACGGTAAGAACGATCATAATTTCGGCCAATAGAAATCGACCAATAGGATCGCACTTCTAAAAATAGTATTCTTAGGATATTTGGTGAATATCCTAACAGGTTCATTGTTAGTTTTCGTACTAGTGGTCATCTAATGTCTAACATATGAACTGATAAATGATGACCGAGTGAAATAACATTATGATGTTGCTAAACCAGTCAATACATTATTCGGGTATAAAATATGAATATTAGTGCTCAATTTGATTTTAGTACGTTTAGATACTGAGGATTAGGCTGATGAGATTGTCATCCTGTGTTGGAGAACATGTGCAACAGTAGGAAGTGGACAATGAATGACTTATGATCTAAAAATAGGAGCAATAGGATGAACGAATTACGTTATCAGCGAAAATCTTGCAGCCGTGACTTTTTCTTCAAGTCAAATTTTCTTTTATGGCTTAATTTTATGATCATTATTATCTTTGCTTATCGATTTGTTGATGTGCATTTGAAGTGTCAACTTGTATGAGTTACTATTGCATTAGTTGTGTGCTATATTTTTTACTTGTGAAACATTCCTATAGATTACCTGTATTACGAAATAAGCCGGTCGGCTATGGATTCAACTGGGTTTTAATAATAATAAAAATAGCAAATTGTTAAGGCTACAATAGGCCATTTGTTTGCATTTAAATCAAAGAGAGGCCTCTTCATATTCTTGATCATAGATTGACCTATGTTCAACCTACATAACATTTTTTATAATTCACTACCGGAAGTCAGCATACAGAATAAGAAACTTTAAGTACTAACCGATCGAACTCCGTCATTTTATCGAATTCGTCAATACAACATACTCCTTGATCCGCTAACACCAAAGCTCCTCCTTCTAAAGTCATTTCACCTGGAAAATGGAAGAATTAAAGGATAAGAAACTAATCACATTAAAAAAATTGATAAAACCTTATAACGACAGTACCTGTAATGGGAAATTTTTTGGAGATGATTGTCTATTTATTTATCACAGACTGATTATTAGTTAAGTGACTGAAGTAGGCTGGAAGAAAGCTAGGAGTGGCCAAACCAAAACATGGTATCAGTTCATGAATGCTACAGTATTCTTAACTAGGATGTGTTTCGTTCCATAACAGAATTTAGCTGTCTAGTCACTTTAACTATTAGAAGTTTTTAGTGAGCCAGTGTGAAACAATTCTGTAGAGTTGTTCAAGTAAAAAACTATCATTTTGTTTAATTTTTTAGTTAGTGAATAAAACTTATATACAAATCAAAGGTAAAAAGTTTTAATAACAGATTAAAGATACAGACAAGAATTAATTAGCTTTTTGATGGCTAAGTAGCTCGAGTTTTATCAGCAACGGGAGGAAGCAACTAATAAAGACAAAAAGTAAATTACCTGTTAATGGATCCTTCATGACTGAAGCTGTTAAACCTACTCCAGAACTGCCTCGACCGGTCGTATATTGAGATCTAGGGCTGAGGCGGTCAACAAACCCCAGTAATTGAGACTTAGCAACTCCTGGGTCACCCATTAAACAAATGTTTAAATTCCCTCTAATTCGAAGTCCTTCTTTTGGAGCTAACTCCACACCACCAACCAACAGTAAAAGTAAAGCCTTCTTTACATCTTCATGGCCATAAATTTCAGGGGCTAGAGATTGAGCCATTAGTGAGTAGAACTCAAGATCTGTAAGTAAGGAATTAGATTCAATTAAATTCTTGCAAGACATAACATATAAGCAGCTCTGCGAAAAAAACCATACTAGAAGCATATCTCAATGATAGCGAAACGAAAAACTCTAATTACTTATAACTAAAACATTAAAGAAAAATCATCGTAACTAACCACGTAAGCGTTCTATTTCCTCTTCACTTGGTTCATTGGCATCTGTAACATCATCTGTCTTACTTAGTAGTTGTACACTATGAGCTTCCAAATAAGTATCAGTTAGTAAACCACCAGATGCGGTATTAAGCGATACAGAAGCTTGATTTGTTCTACCGCCACCAGAAAAACTTGCTCCGCGTACACTTGGCAAAAAGACACCTGTAAGCAGTATGTGATCACCGGGTTGAGCTGCTCGAGTGTTTTCACCTCGAAGATAAATAGTTAATGCACGAGGAATATGACCAACAGGCACCTAGAATTGAATTTAGAAATTTGAGTTGATGAGAGAAACAAAACTAAACAAAAGAATAATTTTGAACAACCAAACAGCTGAACAACTAGAACGTAGTTTACAACAGTTGAACAAACAATTAAAGAAAACTGTCTCACTAACCTTGATTAAACATGTTTTTAAAACGTTTTCTTTGATAAGAATCACATTGTTTTAACAGTCCCACTAAGAGATAGTTTAAATAACAGTTTCCAACATTCCATTTAATTAGATATGCTTTAGCATTGATGAGTATAATAGGAATTAACAATATGATCGTCATTACTTATTTTGAACAGTCAGAAAAAAATATAATTCTCTATCCCACTCCTCCAACTTAGAAGCTGATTGCTGACTTATTTTTTCCAGAGAAATATGATACCTGCTTATAGTTCGTGCTAAAGTCTCATTTCGTATTGTCCTAAGCCCTTTTAGATCAGTTTTCGGGCATCTGCTAGTTTATTGAAAGTTAGAGAAACTAGCTAGCTTTATAATTCTGTTCTAGATTTTTTAGGCTTCACTATCTGTTTTGTAGAGGACAAAGGAACGTGCTTCACATAACCTTGGATATCTCATCTTTGCAATAGGATCGAAAAGACTTTCTTATTGCCAGTTTTCGGGTTTGAAGGCAGGTGTGTACAGCTGAAGCGCTTTATTCCATCTGAACTCTTCTACTAGTAGTCGATGTTTATCGTCGAACCATGTCGGAGAGCGTCATATCAGATAATTCCTTTTTGTGCTTGAAACTGGAAGTCTCTAGGAATTAATGGTTTTTGGATATGGTCGTCTGCAGTGCTGGTAGGCTGAAAGATTTATATCTTTGATTTCGCTAACATACACGAGCGTTAAAACTACCCACCAGTATCGTTTGGACCTTAATGCTAATGGAAACCAGAAATCTATTAGGACAATTTATCATATTTTAACTGAGGTAGGATAAAAAAGCACTACGAACAGGTAACTGTATCTTTTCAGTTTCTTATAATTATATCTAGTTGTAGTGTCAAAGCCATCATTGACGAAAACTCAGTTCATGGGCAAATGACTAGCTTTCATATAGCCAAGAACAGAATTCACTAGTAAGTCTCTAGATAAGCGGAAGATGAACCTTTCACGTTACCCGTACTGATTAGATAAATTTAGATGAACAAAAATAAACTTAGGTTCTATATGAGACTGTCAAAGTTAAAGGATTCTAGTCTTAATTGGCATAGAGTTCATATCTGGGGTAAGTTTCAACTGAAAATCCAATGTATGGTTTGAGGCGTAGTTTCAAACCAAGAAAGGCACTTTGTAAACCTGTGTTAAGTGTCCAAATTGTGAGGTACATACAACATCTAGGTGTTCAGCGTACCCAGAACAATCGAGTTAAAAACATTATAGGTAAAAGTGAGATGCTTAAAACTTTTGACTTCCAAAACAAAATACACGCTCGTGAACTTGACTATCAAGTATATTATACAGAGGTATGGATACTATTCAAATAGATACAACTGCACAGCAATTGCAGCAAAATCAATTCTTCAAACTGTAGGATTACACCATTGTAGTGATGGAGTAAAAAGAAACAACTGTATTTACATAAAATCCATGTATAAACTAAAGATATCCTACTCAGAGCAATGACTTTCTCCTATGTAAAAATAATACCCACTTGGTCAGATAATTCCTGAATACGAATCTCTTGAAACTTAAGGAACTTGGACCCCCGTGTCTGCATATGTAATCGACCACCACCACCCGGTCCAGCATTTTTGCACGCAGCGGTACCACAAACAGTAAGTGGCATGAACGTTGGATTATTTATTTCCTGTAAATGAAAAGTCGGCAGTTTTTGTCATTAACACTAGGTAAAAGAAGGATCAATCAGTAATAAACAATAACAAACCTGATATGCGTCCATAGGCTCAAGTTGCTATAACACATTAAGACTAGCAGATGAAACTAACAAAATGGTAAAGGGGTTGAAATGAAACAGCAATGAGTCACTATATATATTGAAAATAGAACTCAAATATAAAGAATGACAACGGTATGTGTAAAGGAATACTACAACTCAAGGTTTAGAAGATTGAATGCATATGCAACACAGTATGCAACAGTATGCAACACAAGTAGGCAATGTAATCGGCTTTCAGTGGAATTTCTAGTCACCACAAGCAGTCAGTCAGATACATCGTAGAATTTCATACGTACATAAGTTCAGATTGCCATAAAACATCAACACAGACGCAATATTCAATGCAAATCCAATAGTGGTAGAGATAGTGTAAGTATTAGCGGTAATGGAGAATATTAGTATTCGAAGATATTATTCAAGAAGTATGACTCAGTGAGATAAATTTAGAGCGAGGAAGATAGAGGTGTTGAGGAATTCAGTAAATTAGAATTTCAGAAAACACAGAGTGGATGCACCTGTGCCATTGCAAACCATGTCGTTCAAGATCTCTAACTACCGGTTACTACCGTCTTGCGGACCCCAACCAGGCAGTATACATCTAACAATATGACTCAATCCACTTGTCAGTGACTTCATGGATTTCTGCCATGTTTAGGTTTAGCCGCCCCAACTTTCTCCCAACCTGCTGCTACACCGCAAAACATAGCTAGTCCAGGCAGTCAGTGGTTAGGCATACACAACACATGTACCAACCACCTCAACTGATGGAGTTTCAATACTTTATCTATTGACCCGCCATCCTTACCTAGTACCCGTCTCTTAATAACAGCACTGCTTACTCGGTTGTCCCACAACACACGAGTAATGCTTTGGAGACACCTATGATCGAAAGCCAGTAACCTACAAATATCCTCAACTCTTACCGGCCACGTTTTACAGCCATAAAGCAGGATGGAGCGAAATGTTGCGCAGTAGATCCGTCCTTTGGTTAGCAAACGGATATTTCGCCTTCGTCATAAGTGACGCAAGTTGGAAAAGGCCAATCGGGCTTTTTGTATCCGCGCTGAGATTTCGTCAGTCACCAGGCCATCAGCGCTGATGAGACTCCCGAGGTAAGTGAAGCGGTCGATACGCTCCACTGCTTTTCTACCAGAAGTGTAGTTGAGGGCCGGTTAAACTGACCCCTGAAGTGTTCTGCTCATCAACCCAATCTCCTGGGTTGAGAATGAATGATACGACGATCTACCGAAATAGTTTCGATAACAGGTGGACTCCTGGTACCAGTTTCTTGGATAAGGTAGAACAGTTGTCTACTGTTACATATCATTGCTTTAACAATTGTATTGTAGAGGCTGTTCTTGTATGGTGTTTAAATTAGGAATTCATGTTTAACACTAAGACAACTGGGTTTCTAGGTATTAATTTCCGTATCACATAAAAGCATTTCAGGAGGCACCTTCATTTGTAATCATAACTAAATTTGTCAAGACATAACGGAGAGATGTTTGTGATGATAGGGATTAAATACGAGTAGTAACAAGTTTGAATACGATGAAAATTTTTTAACTAACCTGATACGTTTCAGCACCACAACGATCACAAGTGTATGTTGCTGTTGTTATAAGCGGTTTGACTTCGGTTGCGCGTGTAACGACTCCACGAACCTGAATAAGATGTCCGATGCTCGAAGCCAGTACGTTCCGAACACACAACGGCTTAGCATCTGATCTTCCACAGAAGTAAACCTCACTATAATGGTAAATCATACTTAATTAAACGTACAAACGCCGTAAAAGCTCAGGTGGAAATCTGGAGCGAACTTCCGCCATGTTAACAGGTTCAGGGTCGCGGGAAACAGGACGTGGGGCTGTCTCTGCATCGGCAGCTCTAATTCGTTGCTCCATTCTGATTCTATGATCGATAAATATGTCCAAAACATCTTGTGGAACAAGCTATAACCAGGTGGTCAGATGTCATTCAAACAACATACCTCGACAGTTCGAAAATCGGGTAGTAAGTCGTCGATAACCTCAGCAAACAGCTTCGTGTACCGAACAGCATTGCATTCTATCGCATTAGCTAAGTCACTGGAGTGTTCCGCTACGTCGTCTAGAGAAACATAAATTACTGATTGTTCACGATTTGCAATGCGAGTCTTTCAGAGAGTGAGAAAATAGCATAACATACCAACTGTTCGCTGTAAACAAAATGCTTATTCCCACAATTATCAATTTTGCTATAAAAACGCAGTAATTGGTCACAAGCCTTCTTGTCTTCGTCGTAGTTTCTCACAGTTTGCAAGGCCATCCTTAACTTTTGATTTAAATGTCGCTCTAATGCTACCGAAAGGCTAGTCAGTGCAAACAAACAATTACGAATGAAAACAAAATCGTGTAAGCTGTGTTGACCTGTGATATCAAAACGTATGTATCGACATTCGAACAATTAAACCCTTTTTTAACTTTAAATGGATTGGAAAGACAACGGTACCGCTGATCTGCTATTAAATGGCCAATACAAGAATTACGGAAAATCCCTGGAGCCTCGGGCGTCAAAGCAGTAGTTGTGGTACTAAACCCTGGGAGAAACTTTGATCCCAAACTCAATGGTTTTAATGTCTGACTTCAGCAAATCAACTCTGTTATGAGACAACACCCGTTGTCTTCGGTGAGTAACTGCTTTACACACAACACATTTCGGTGATATTATGGACCAATGAACGCTAAGGGATAAAACCGTTGTCTAGTACTTCCATGTTTTCAGTGGTAGTCTAACAATAATTTACTCGTGATTTCCGCGAAACAATTCTAGTACTTTGAGGACTGGGGAGCGTGAATAATTACGTGAGTGAAGAAAGATGGAAAACAAGAGAGTTAAAGAATTTAGTTCAAAAATTCACACATAATTATCAGGGAAAAGAACAAACAGTAATCAGCATCAGCTAAATCCCATTACTAAGACAATCCGGAAATAGGAACTAGAAGTGGATGGCACAAGGTTTCCTCTCTGTGTTGACGAAGTGCCAAAACTTATCAAGTTGTCCATTATGTTGCTTGTAGAAAATCCGGGTAACTCTAGGTAGTGGGACCAATCATCTTGATTTTCATGACAATGTCATATGCAACATGAAATCTGAATAATATTATCAGTCTTCTTACAGGTATGCGTTGCATGCATTCAGCAACCCCAAACAAAGTTGTTCCGTAACTGACAGGTAAACAGAGATACTTAGTGAGGTAGAAAAGGAGATCCTTGGCAACGCCAGTACGGACAGGTTACACGTCGAAACCGGTGGCAATATGCTGGAACTCAGTACGGTCTTATAATAGCGCTAGACTTCGTCTATAATATGAGTTTTCATCCAGCTTCTTCAAAACCAACTACGGTACCTAGGCATTCTACTGGAGGAAACTGGAGTTTAATCAATATTGCAGAGAAGAATCAATGATCACGGCAGTCGAGGTCAAGCAGAGAGCCCAGTTAGTTTATCGGTTGTACGATCTACTCTTAAGGCTGTTTGATCGATTAACTAAAAGGGAACCCGATCCACAAACCAACTGTCTATAGAAAGGACCTAAAACTAGGCGTATCCCGAAACTCGGGATACCGGTCAAGATTTACCTTAAAGACAACTCAGACATTACTCTCAGTTTGTAAGAAAAAGCGATAAGGTGCTTTTAAAGGATTTAATCAGGAAGGTCAAACTTCCCGAAAATTGAACCGTTATCAGAAGACCTTAAACACAAATATTATCAAGGACTACATCTTCTAACGTTTACTCGGCTAGTAGAAATAGTATTCGTACCTTCCAAAATGGTTACTGTTAATCGCGAAGCCTTTCGCGCTAACAGAATTCGGTTGCCAACTGGAATCCACATGCATCGAGACAGGCCACATGATGCGGAGATTAGGCACAAAGGAAAATTGTGACTGACCATTACATTTGTGAACTGTCAAAAAATAAAAGACATGGGAGGGACAGGGATCACCCAATCAGAAAACCTCGTTTACCTGTTCATTAAAATGCAGCTCATATAGATAAACGGGGCGAGGACTCCCATGCTTTTCAAATCGAAAGCTGTAACTTACTAAAAGTGAACTATGAGCCTCACTAGACACGCGTACAGTGAACTTTATGACTGTACTAGAGCTTGGTTTCTTAATTTCACCAAAGAATCAGTATTATTCGAAAATGAGTAACCAGCAAACTTCGACACCCTAACGCTGAGACTGAATCTCAACAAACGAAGAGTTTCGTATTAAAAACTTCTTATTCCTTCCTTTTTGTCTTCACCTTTACCAGCGAAACTGAGCTTAATCATTCCACTGACAGAAACTTTGGAATTCCGAGTTACTGGATGTGTCAACTTTGAGGTAAAGTCTACAGAATATGAACTCAGAAGCCATTCACTCGGATTTCTCACTGCACGAGATCTTATATGTCACAATGCAGTCTGTTGCACAAACTGCCCCCAAGATTTACAAGCCACCGACAGCACTAAGGAGTTGCACTCCTCGGATATAAAACTTAAGAGATACTACTTAGCAAGATGCAAATTGAGTAGAAACGACGGCACATACAGACAGTGCAAACGAGCAAGCGAACAGTGGGCAAACGTGCTGAGGAAGTATAAACTTCATTATCAGGTCAAGCTGATTGAAAAATTTGCCTTCAATCCACAAAGCTTATCCTACTATTCAACCTCCCTTCGACAATTCACTGTGGCAGTTTACAGGTTGTTAGGTCCTAGTGACCCAACGAACAGCGATGGTGATACCATAAAGCTCATGGAAAAACAATATTTTCGAAATGCAATGGTGTCTCTGATATACGACGGTTTAAGTGTCTACTTGTAACATAAACTTGTTTAGTCCCCGAAAACACGATAACGGGGAGGGTAACAAGATTATCAAACTACTGGATGAGATGGTCAGATGGACTGTCGATCTTGACCAAAAAGACGTTGATGTTATATATACTGACTTCCTTTAAGCATTTGAGAGGGCCATATATAGAAACCTCGTCAATATGCTCTAGTCGTTGTGTATCAAGTTGCCAATAAAAGATCGGTTCAGTTCATGTCTTAATAACCACCATGTTAAGGACACGATAAGCCATATTTCTTTTCAGGCTACAGAATGTCCTTGTGGAGTCTACTATGGTTCAGTACCACAATCTTCTCTCTTCCCGATTTATATAATTGACCTTACCCAGGATTTATTATCTGGGCTACTACGTTTCACTGACGATGTTAGATTTTTAAGGGTGGTTCTCAGTCACGATGATAAAGTTAGACTTCAAGAGGATTTGAATTAATTCCAAAGTTGTGTCAGGTTGTTTAGGTTCATCACGAAAAGAATACCTACAAGCCAGGGTGTCTGAGATCTCAAAGGTCAAAATGGCGGAGATCCAACCTAAGAATGGCTGAGATCTTCACCTACCAACTTAATTGGTCAATTAAGTCAAGTAGCTACACATTCACATTATTGCTCAAACATAATACATGGATAAGAAAAATACCCTCCATGAAGCAGGCAGGTCGTGCGCATCGAATTTTCCAGTAGGATGGGACAGTTTGACATCCTGCTGTGACCGACAAATACCTGTGCAAATAATATTTCTAGACTCTGAAAAAGCCTTCGACACAATACCCCATACACGCCTAATTTTGAAGGTTGCGGAAATGGGCTTCATTGATCCACTCCTATCTTGTCTTAGCAACTACCCTGAGAATATAAGGTTTTGTACCAATGTAAATAGAGTGCACACGAGTTAACGAATCCCAACTTCGAGAATTTCATAAGGGACCATCTTCGGTCCATTTATGTTACTGGTATTTATTAACTCGGTGGCATTGATCTATTCAGCCAATGCAAGGTCTGGAGGTCCATTAGAAGCGAAACGGATTCAACTGAGCTTCAGAGAGACCTTACATCTTTTGAGGAATGGGCAGTGAAAAACGGTTTAAAACTAGACCAGTAGAAATGTCAGGTTATGTACATTCTGCCCCACACGATACGAATGACTTACACCATCAATGGAAGTCCACTCCCTAATGTCCTTTTAGAGCGCGATCTCGGCTTAGTAACCACTGAAAGCCTCGACACCGATTCGAACTATGTAGCGGACTCAGCCAAGTCTAATGCAACTTGGTGCTATCACCCCTGAATTATTCTTAACGTTGTTCAAGACGTATGCGCGCCCACACCTTGAAGTTAACAACGTTGTTGCACCACCTCTCCTCAAAAGAGACAAATCTCTTGAATCGAGTGACGAAATTGGTGATAGAGTTGAAGAATAAAACGTATGTAGATAGACCCAACATTTAGGATTATTCTTTCTAAGTTACAGGGGAATCAGATGAGATCCGATAATGGCTTACAGCATACTAAGCACGCCAAACCCTCCCGACATGTGCATCTTACCGAAGCATCACCATCATGCCCCTCGAGGTTATCCTCGAAAAATTGCGCATAAAAGAGCTAACACTCAGGTTCGTGAACAATTGTTCTCATTTATAGTCGTTGCAACTTGGAATGCTCTCCCAGGCTGAGGTGACCAAAGCCCCCTAATTGGACAGCTTTAAGAAGATACTTGATAAACACGTACTCAAATATAGATTATTATCTCCCTCGTGGACCAGATGTGCCTGATGCATGTCTTTAGACCTGGTAGTCGTTATTATCGCCATCTCCTCAGATCATGAAATTTCATTCATCCTGCTCATTATCTCAATTTCCTTCACCTCGCTTACACTTTGGTCTCCTCTGACAATCTTCACTATCAATTATTAAACTAAACTATCCATTTCGTTACTTAGGTCTGAAATCTTCTTATTAGCATTAAAAATTTTTCTTTATTATTCTCCACGTTGCAACCAACTGATATCCGGCCTGGTGACATGATAGCTGCTAATATCCAGAAAGCCTACAGTACTGAAACAAACGTACTTATTCAAATCACGGGACATACAAACTCACAAGCAACTGACAAATGACTAGAATTAGTGCAGTAGGGTTTCTGGACCCCCATCGATTGGACACTACGGAATACTTGGGACCGTACCAACAGAAAAAGAATCGAGCGCAAGGAAATCGATTGGTTTTTACTAGCTCGTGGAAAGGATTTCGGGTATTAGAATCATATAAGTCTCACTAATGATCTCAAAGGCGATGTACGAAATCGATTCAAAGACTCTCGTTCAAACCTTATGAAGAGCGATTTAAATCACTGTATACGCACCAATTATTGAATAGGTGAATTCGATATGACCTAATGACTTATAGCAACGCAAAGAATTCTGTTCATTTACTTAATCTCGGTCCCAAAACAAACCTTGGAGATTAGAAACAGGAAATCCTTGCATGGAGTGTAGGCACTAAAGTGTAAACATTAGATTATTTTTATTTATCGGTTCACGGTTTCTAGTTTTCATCAGATAAGAATGCACGTTATTCGGACTCCTTTTATACGCGCGCTGTTTACGTTTTTTTAGCTTAGTGTTTTCGTGTCATTTGAAGATTTGTCTAACGATCTAGTTTTGATCCTGTAGTTGATCTGTTAATTCTTAATAATCAGTTTCAATTGACAGGTTAGTTTAGAGTTCTCTTCTGTTTATATAGCGACGAATTAATTAGTAAAATACCGATTATGTTGTTACCTCAAGTTAAAAAAGGGCTAACTGTAGATAATCCTCGGGAAAATGTTTTAGTCAAGTCAGTGTTAATAGGGGAGACGATGCACCTAATTGTTACCTTTTTATCCAACCTGTGGTAAATAGTGCGACTTTTCTACAAAGCTTCCCTACTGAAGGAAAATATCGCGTTATTAGCATGTTCTTCTAAATGTCTATTATCCTCTAATGTAGTTTATTATTATTCATCCAGGTAATCTCAGTTTATCTAGTGTGGTCTTTCTGTTTCTGTTGGCATACAAATGATTGTGTAGTTGTTATGGGTTTCTTGCTTGGACGACACATGCATGAAAGGCTGGCGGCTGTAATCTTAAAACTGTAATCGGAGAGATTACGGTTCGAAGATATTATCCAGGAAGTATAATTTGGTGAAATAAACTTAGAAAAAGAAAGATAAAGGTTATGGCGATGTGATCTATTTGGGTTATGTGTTGTGACAACTTTGGGGGTCGCCATGTCGAAAGATGTTTTTCCGCATGCTTAAATTTAGTATTTGCTAGAAATATGCGGTCATCTGAACATAGCTACAACAACTTAGTGTTCTTGTACATCTTCACAAAGTCAGTCTCAAAATCAAAATACGACTTGGAGAAAAGTTAACCTGTTGTATATCGAATGGAATGGTCATAATTGTTGTTGAGTTAATGTATACGTTTATGAGAAACTCCCACAAAATATCCATATAAACGGAGTCTAAGACAAGATTGAGCATAAATGTCAAGTGAGTACTCGTGGCAGACTACTGGTTTTCATCTGCGGTGATGATAGAGGATCTTTAGAAACGTAGTGTATTTGTTTAGGACTCATGCATTGTCATATCATATCTCTATCAATGAGGTTGCACTAGATTTCGAATCATTTAGTCATAGTATCGAGCCTGGACCGACTTCGGTTAGGCTAGTTCAGCAACCCTTGCACAAAAGGTGTGATCTGAAGCTAATCGCACATATCTATCCTTCGTTAGTAAGTTTCATCTTATTATCTGAAAGTTTCTGGTCCATTTCTGAGTACATCCATAGTATGTTATTAAAAGTTGGTTCAAAGGAATAATTGACTCGGACATTCTTGGTTAGTTTCGAGCTTGCAGATAACCGACACTAGCTTGATTGAGTGATCTTCACTGAGAATATACAAATTTCCTACTTTTTTTATTTTTTTCACAGGTATGTCATTAGAAGGGACACTTTATTTTTTTCTAACTTTCAGAGTTTTGCCTACCTGGAGACTTACATTGGTTTAAATTACTCAGGTGCAATAGTTATATGGAGTAAAGACCGATAAAGTGTAGCCTTTTGTAAACCTCAAATATTAATTAATGTTTTGGATAAGTTTTTCACCCTCTAAATCTGATATATTGCTTCAAGGGTTGTCTTCATTTATGTCTTTAACTTGACCATGATTTGTAAAGTGTTCTTGCATAACAACCATATTACTTGTAAGTTCCACCAGTACTATCATAGTTGTTTGTTACTTGAAGAACTGACTGAAGAAATACAAAGAAGCAGTTTAATACTTGTCAATTTACATTGTTATTGATTCAGGGGACATGTTTGTCTACTTGTTAACTTGACAGTGGGTTGATAGAATAACAATGGTAGTTAGAGCTCATTATTTTCTTTACTCTAGGTCTTGAGTGTCATAACGATCTAAACTTTCACTTGATTTTCCATGTTTCTTTGAATAGATTTATTTTTACTTATCAACTATGACATGTATGATTATTTTTTAGAGCATTCATTTATCTTATTGGTCTGCTTCCACTTCATTGAAAACTTGAATCAATACAAATATATGGCAGTTTCTACTCGGTTCATATTTATTTACCAAGTATAATTATTATCTATACATGGCAGTGTTTTAAAGTGTTGTTAAAAAGGATTCTTAAGGCATATTTTCTCAATTATCTGTATTTTTTTCCATTTCAATAGATTATTGGTGACATTCGATTACTTTTAGCATATTCACGGGATAAAAATGGATGTAAGTTTAAATTGTTTGTTGTTCATTCTTGTTATTCATTTTTCATTCAGCAGGGGATGTAGACATTTTTTTTTAAAAAAAAAATACAGATTTGAACCAGGATTTTTTTTTCTGTATTCATTAATCTTAGCTGACACGATAACGTCATGAAAATGGGAAGTTTAGACAATTTTGACATCATAGTGCACTAATTGTAGTTGCCTATAAATAAGTGGTCTTTAGGGTTTTTAGATCGTTTTACCATCTTGTCAGTGGCAAATTTTCTCTTGGTATTTGAAGTTTTAGCTAGATATACGTTGATTTATATTAATCCTTGGTCCATTCTACCTCTGTTCACTGATGTACAGAGAGAGGACAGTATACAATAGTGCACTTAGCCGTACTGTGCACTTGCATACCAAAACAGAGTTTGTCGCACAAAATCGGTTAATATAATTTGATCATTATCACAATAAAGAAGTTACTTTTATTATTAAAGAAAAAAAAATAAACTACTAGTAAGAGTGTAAACATAGGATTTAAGATCAAACATTAAATTATTGTTTAAGGTTTCAGATCTATTTTATTGACTAATATACACAAATGAAATATGCACTTCACTTATCCTATCTAAAAATGTTATCTTAAATAAATTCGGAGTTTACAAGATGTGGTCCCTGACTATCATTCTTCATCCTTGTAAACATCAGTGGCTAGTAACTGAGTATTATGTTTTGTAATCTATTCTCATTGGGCAAATTATCTAACTGTTGAATATGATTTTCTCTGACTTGGCCGTTAAGAGTAGAGGACTTTCGAAGGCTACTAGTCTTCGATCATCGATGTCTCCGAAGCATTGCTCGTGTATCATGGGACAACCGTACAAGCAATGCTGTCGTTAGGAAACGAGTTCTAGGTAGGGATGGCAAATCAATAGATGAAGTATTGAAACTTCATCATTTGAGGTGGTTGGGACATGTGTTACGTATGCCTAACCACCGATTGCCGCCACCAGCTATGTTTTGCAGTGTAGGAGTAGACTGGAAGAAAGTTAGGGGCGGCCGGACCAAAACATGGCAGAAATCCATGAAGTCACTGACAAGTGGACTGAGTCATGTTGGTAGATGTAGACTACCTGGTTGGGGTCCGCGAGACGAAAGTCACCGATGGTTAGAGACCTTGAACGACATGGCTCAGAATCGTTTGCAATGGCGCAAGTGCATCCACTCTTTGTGTTCTATGAAATTCTAAGCTTCTGCATTCCTCATAATCTCTACCTTTCTCCTTCTAAATTTATCTTACTGAATTATACTTCTCGAATCATATCTTTGCTCCCTAATCTTCTCCATTACTGCTAATACTTCTATTATTGCTATCACTGTTGGATTTGATGAACTGACAGTTGCGTCTCTGTGCTGATGGTGCATGGCAACCTGAACTGATGTACTACGTACGAATTTCTGCGTTGTATCTGTCTGTCTATGATTTTCTCTCATTCATCTATTTACTTAGATTTCTGTACATAGTTTTTCATCTATCTTATTTGTCGCTCTGCTTTTCTCACTTGTGCTTAGTTTCTCTTTAATTATTTTTTTTTGACCATAAGTTGTTAGTATTATTTCAACTTTTTACTTTATATTTTTCATTTAGTCTATCTTGTAATGAATTACAAATAACCCTACATGTCAAAAAGAGTTAGTCATGGTAATTTTTCCTTGTTCCCTTGTGTTTTGACTGTTCGGAGCTCCTGTTTTTTTTTATGTTGTTTATTTCATTCGTTATTGCTGTTTATTAGCACTTTTTTTTAAAATAATTTTCGTACCATTTGGGGGTCGTTCAGATTCGACGAATTGCCCTGGTTAGATGCGTTATGTTCCGTAATATGCTGTGATTCACTTCTATCTCAAGTTTTATTTCAAGTCAATCAATGACGATTTCGACTAGTGTTTATTGTTGAAGACTTATTCTTTAAATAATTCAAAAAGATATCACAATAAAGACTCACCTTATTTCATATTTTATGAACATGTATAGTGGGTGCTTATATATAAGAATCAGTTTAGCCCAATGAACCTCCTTGTTCACTCTTAATCTTTTCATCAAGTAGTTTACGAAATCTCAGCTCGGATACAGAAGGCTCGATTGGCTTTTGTCAACCTGCGTCACTTGTGGCGTAGGCTAGATATCCGTTTGCTGACTAAAGGACGAGTGTACTGCGCAGTAGTTCGCTCCGTCTTAATTTATGGCTGTGAAACATGGCCAGTGAGAGTAGAAGATATTCGTAGGTTACTGGTTTTCGATCATAGGTGTCTTCGAAACATTGCACGTATATCCTGGGACACCCGAGTGAGCAACGCTGTTATTAGGGAACGAGTGCTAGGTAAGAATGGCAGATAAATAGATGAAGTAATGAAACTTCATCAGTTGAGGTGGTTGGGACGTGTGTTGTGTATTCCTAACCACCGACTGCCTCGTCGAGCTATGTTTTGCGATATAGGAATAGGTTGGAAGAAAGCTAGGGGCGGCCAAACCAAAACATGGCAGAAATCCATGAAGTCACTGACAAGTGAACTGAGTCATGTTGGAAGGTGCCGACTACCTGGTTGGGGTCCGCGAGATGATAATAATCGATGGTTAGAGACCTTGAATGACATGGCTCAAAATCGCTCGCAATGGCGCCGGTGCATTTATTCTTTGTGTTCTCTCAAATCCGAATCTTCTGTATTCTCCAACACCTCTAGTTTTGACTTTCTAAACTTTTCTCACACTGAATCATACTTCTTGAATAATATCTTATAATCCTAACCTCTCCGATTACTTCTAATATCTTTACTACCTCTACTACTATTGGATTAGGATTGACAATTATATCTCTGTGCTAATGTGGTATGGCGACATGAACTGATGTACTTACGTACGAAGTTCTACGTTGCATCTGACTGACTGACATCAAGTAGTTGATTGGGGCTTGTACATCAGGAGTTCCTTTACTATAATATCAAAATTGGACGCCGCGCACTATTCAACTTCAATCTTTAGCTGGTATTTTTCTTTGTGTGTATCATGGTTTTCACTATAACCAGAGATTTTATTCAGTTGTAAATTCACAGTTTTTAGTTGTGTTTTTGAAATGATACTTCTTCGTTTGTGTTTATGCCTTATTTATGTTTTTGTCTTAAACAGTACATAAAATTAAATTTTTTTTTCCATACATACACATTCTATAGAATCTTTTACAAGAAAATCATAGTCTGTTAAAGAAATTAGAATTGAAAAAAGAAATGGAAGCAGCTTATCTTGATGAAATTGAACAACTTCGATCAGTAATTACTCGATTACAACAAGAAAAAACACCACTTACCACTGCACGTGTTGATGACAATTCTTCATTGTTATATAATCTAGAAAGTCGTCTTGAAAAATCAGAAGAAAAAGTTGTATCACTTACTAAAGAGCTTGATTTAGCTAAAAAACGTGAAGCTGATTTGTTGGAACAGTTAAATAGTTTTGTTAATAAAATGGATAGTATTTCTGAAGTGAGTTTAAATTGATTTTTGTTCTTTCTCAAGTGATGATAAATCTTACAGTTGTTGTAATTAATCATTATTTCTATTCTTATAATGGAGTTTATTAAAATGTCTTCTTATTGTGGGATGACTGAGTGAGCAATCCTGAGGTTAGACGCAGGATACCAAGAAAAAGTTGGAAAATTGGCTGATGAAGCAAGCCATTCTCACTTACTTGATGTGGTTACGTCATGGATTACATATATATGACCACTGTATACTTTAACGAGTGATGTTGGCTAATGTAAGTTTTAATTTGAAAGGAAGATATGGTCAGTCGATTCAAGATATGCCATTAGTCCATGAAGCTATTGACAGTTGAATTGAGTCATGTCGGTAGATCCAGGCTACCTGATTTTGGTTGTTTTTGCAATAACCACAACTAATAGTCTCAGACTTAAGGTAATATTAATATTCCTCAGAATCAATCACAATAGTCTAAATGCATTGACTATTTAGTTTCAATATTCCATCATGCATATCTTTTCATCCAATATTCTTGAATCATGTCAATGTTCAATGTTTCTCATGACGATCGCTATTACATTATTTCAATTCATTTTCTGCTTCATCCCGTTATTTCTCATCTTGTCGTACCGTCCCTGGTCTAGAAACCTGACCTGATATACATTTGTCTCAGGCTTTGTGTGTTGATAATGACTAACTGCTGACTACTTGAATTGGTATTTGACCAGTTTATATATGTGTACCTCAACACCCGTATAGTTACTGTTTGAGTGAGTAAACTCCTGATAACAATGATTCTTTTCATTCTGTTGATATAAAGTGCATGATTGTTTTTTTGTCATAAGGCTCTCACTTTATGTCTATCTAATTACATAATAATCTTATAATATATAGTATTTAAACAGATGGTTACAATAAATTCGGTCAGTTTATTTCTGTTGTCACTTTGGTTTATTTATATTATCCTTTTTCACTTTTAATCATCGATGGTTAGATATTCTTCCATGAATGAAAAGGGTGGCAGATCAATAGACGAAGTTGAGGTGGTTGGGATATGTGCTGTGTATGCCTAACCGCCGACTGCCTCGACAAGCTATGTTTTGTGGTGTAGGAATAGGCTGAAAGAAAGTTAGGGGCGACCAGACCAAAACATGGCAGAAATCCAGGAATTCACTGATAAGTGGACTGAGTCATGTTGGTAGATGTAGGCTACATGGTTGGGGCCCGCGAGACATAAGTCATCGATGGTTAGAGACCCTGAATCACATGGCTCAAAACCGTTTGCAATGGCGCAGGTGCATTCATTCTTTGTGTTCTCTCAAATCCTAACCTTCAGAGTTCCTCATCACCTTTATCTTTTTCTTTTTAAGTTTATTTCACCAGATTCTACTACTTGAATAATATGCTCGAGCCTTAATCTCTCCGATTATTGCTTGTACTTCTATTACCTCTACTACTATGGGATTTGAATTGACGATTGCGTCTCTGTGCTGATGCGATATGGCAATTAAAACTGATGAACGTACGTATGAAATTCTACGTTGTAACTGACTAACTGACTGACTGTGATATTCTTCCATGAATCAGAAGAAGAATGCATTTGATTTTCCGGTAACTGATTGTGATTTGATTTTCTTTAGAGCGATTGTCTAACTTACGCATGTTCACATATAGGATTAATGATGAAGTGCAAAGATTGGAAATGATTGTTTATCATTCCTGTATTGTTAATTTGTTCATAATCGGTTATTCTTTTGCAATTCATATTTTATAGGAAACGTCATGTCCAAAAAAAATTAGTTCCTTATATCAATTGTGTATTCTCAGTATATTATCAAGTTATTCTATGTTCACTTTACATGTAATCAATATCGAATGAAATTCTATGACTATATCGTTTGTTTGTGTCTTTTTTTCAGAGTTCTATCACTGTTCCTGAATCACATAATGCTTTATTGGAGGAAATTAATCGATTGAAAGAGGAGTTGTCCAGTCAAGAAACTTCTAGTCGTCTTGAACAATCAAAATTAACTCGTCAAATTCAAGAATCCGAAGAGGATCGACAAAATTTACAAGATTATATTATCGAATTAAATCGTCAATTAAAAGTGAGTGTGGATTATGTGCAAATTAATTAATTGATATTTATTTCAAAAAGATGCAAGATGCTATGTTAAGCTGAACGGATGACATTTACTTGTATAGAAATAGGTTGGATAGACAGACAGACAGATACAACGCAGAAATTCGTACGTACGTACATCAGTTCAGGTTGCCGTACCGCATTAGCGCAGAGATGCAACTGTCAGTTCAAATCACATAGTGGTAGCGACAATAGAAGTATTAGCAGTAATGGAGAAGATTAGGGAGCAAAGATATGATTCGAGAAATATAATTCATTTAGATAACTTTAGAAGGAGAAAGGTAGAGATGATGAAGAATGCAGAAGCTTAGAATTTCATAGAACACAAAGAGTGGATGCACCGGCGCCATTGCGAACCATTTTGAGCCATGTCATTCAAGGTCTCTAACCATCGATTATTATCATCTCGCGGACCCCAACCAGGTAGTCGGCACCTTCCAACATGACTCAGTTCACTTGTCAGTGACTTCATGGATTTCTGCCATGTTTTGTTCTGGCCGCCCCTAACTTTCTTCCAACCTATTCCTATATCGCAAAACATTGCTCGTCGAGGCAATCGGTGGTTAGGCATACGTAACACATGTCCCAACCACCTCAACTGATGAAGTTTCACTACTTCATCTATTGATTTGCCATCCTTACCTAGAACTCGTTTCCTAACGACAGCATTGCTTATACGGTTGTCCCAGGTTGGTGGATAGATGGTAGATATGATTGAATCCAGTTGTGACATTAATTAAACCATGAAGTCTTTGATTATTGGATGATGAATATAGACTACACACCTGGTTGGTGTCCATGCAATAGTTGTAGACAATGGGATGGATGATATGGCAGAAAATTGGTTGCGGTGGCGGAGATGCATTCTCTTATACATTGAGTTTCAATATAATGTTGCACTTTTTTTTCTATTCAACAAATCCTTTTCTTCGTTAAACCACATTGGTGTTAAATAACACTTTTTCCTTATTTTTATATTGAATTTCATTATTTACCAATTTTTTTGTCAATTTTAATATTGAATAATTATTAACTTAAATTATTTTTATAATGTTTATCTCCGAAATTAGGATTGCCGTTTAGAATTGAATGATACTCGAGCTCAATTGGAAGCATTGCAGATTCAATCAAACTCTACAGAAAGTACACGAGGCAATTCAGTATTTTCTGAAGTTAGTTAGTTGAATAGATTATTATTTTTTTAATTAAATTTATGCACCAATCATTGTTAGGCTACCATTAGAAACCTGGAAGCATTGAGAGACGGCCGTTTCGTTGTGGTATGGACCTTATCATCAGTGTGCATCGACGACTCCTATAACCTGTAGGATTCGAACAAAGGACCCTCTGCCAAGAGGTTGGGCGTTCGCGCGCAAAACCGAAGGTCCTGGGTTCGGATCCTTCGGGTTATAGGAGTCGTCGATGCGCACTGCTGATGAGGCCCATACCACGACGAAACGGCCGTCTCTCATTGCTTCCAGGTTTCTAATGGTGGGCTAACAACGATCGTTTGATAATTTCTATGTGTAAAAACAGTAATCTCGATAATTCTAATTGTTCTCGTCATATTTAAATATATATATATATATAAATATATATATATATATATATATATATATATATATATATATATTATATATATATATATATATATACTAAACGTAACAAACTCTTTTCCATTTAACTTCTTAGCTTTTTTTAACTATATTCTTACAGCATCATTTGATATGATATGCTAAATATACTGTAGTGAAGGAGAACACAGGTAAGGGCAACCGAATTGTATTTAGCGGAAATTAGAGTTATTCAGTAAAATAGGGAAACCATATCGTAAACGGTTAATTTGCAAATCTTCAATCCATTATCAGTCCATTGTCTGACATTTCACTTATTCATGCGTTTCATACAAATTCCATTGTGTTCCCACTCTTCTTCCTTTCTTGATCTTCTTCCCCCATCTTCTGCTGCCAGACATTATGTTTACACTCGCGTCATATACTACTTATAAGTAGCGCTCACCACAATCTTTTGGTATACACATTAAATTATTCATACATTTATATTTCCTAAGTAGTAAGTGTTACATTTAAATCTTGATGAGATTACAGCATATATTAGAAGTAAATAAAAATCGCCCCACTGTGATAATAGATGATAGTTACTTCTGATTATAAGTTGATAAATTATTATTTTATAAACAATTGATCGATATGTTGTTTTCTGAAGAAAAATATCTTGTCATTTAAAAATCATTGAATGTAAATATTTCTGTAAATTTCATGGCGATGTAAATTATTTGAAACCATCAATCAATCATTGTTAGACCATGATTATGAACCCGGAAGCACTGAAAGACGGCCGTTTCGTCCTGGTATGGAACTCATCAGCAGTGCGCATCCACGACTCCTGAACCTCGCTGGATTTGAACCCAGGACCTTCGGTCTTGTTCACAAACGCCCAAACTCTGGACTACTGAGCCGGAATCCAACGGTGTTAATGATGATTTCAAATGTGCAAAAACAATAATTTTCATAACTCTAATTGAAAAAAAGATTTAAATTGCCTCAATGACTTGAATCTAAGTGTCAAGTGCATTGGTTTTCTTGTAACAGCACTGTAGTAGAATGTATCATGTTGTTGTCGTTGTTTTTCTATTAAAGTGCTAACTAATAATTTCTGCCTATAGATGGTACATCAACATGATGGTAAATTGTGTCGGATCTGATCAATAAAATTTTTATTGAGTTTGCTTTCTTAACTCACGATAAATTAGCAGTAATCAGTGTTAGTGCAGTGGTACTTTTTTCTGATTTGTTTGCACTTAATATTGATTAGTTAGTTTATCAATTCCCATAATGCATATTTAGGAGTAATTTCTTGTTTATTGCTGGAATCATGAATCAATCATTGTTAGACCACCATTAAAAACCTGGAAGCATCGGAAAGCTATTTCGTCCTAGTATGGGACTCATCGGCAGTGCGCATCCACGAATCCTGTTACTCACAGGATTTGAACCCAGCACCTTCGGTCTTGCGCACAAACGCCTAACCTCTGGACCAATGAGCCGGAATCCAACGGTGTTAATATCTAACTAAGATCAATTTAACAATGATTATTTCATGCTTTCAGTAACAAACAACAATCTCCATAACTCTATAATAAAAATTCGTACAATGTGCTCACTAGTGAACTAGTTTCGTGAGGAGATTCTCGGAGTTCTAGTGAGAAGTCGTGACCAATGGAGCTCAACCTCTCAGGTGTAGGCAGTAACTACCGAAGACAAGTGGGTGAAGATGATCACAATCCTTAGATCGATCAAAGTTAGACATTAACACAGTTGGATACTGGTTCAGTGGTCCAGAAGGAAGGAAGGGTTAGAAAAGGTCGACCCTAAAAATGTCACACCTCACCCTACCTCATGGATTCCCGACTCCGGCGGTAAGGGTGCCCACTAAGCGCTTTTGAAAAGAGCGGAGCTAATATTCAAAAAACCTTTCATAAAAAAGCCGTGCGTGACCGGCCTCAAGCAGTTGTCTCTTGGATTCTGCTGTCACGCTCCCAGGTCTCTAAGACCGATACTAATCAACCTTCTTTTTCAGGTCCCTCAAGAAACACCCTTCCATGGTGTGGGCAGCCGGGAAGTGACAACCGCCCTCATACCCGTAACAACACACGAGATCGAATTTGTCAAAATCAAGTCCTACGTACGAAGTTCTATGTTTTAGCTGACTGATTGAATGAATGAAAGAGAGAAGTGTATACGATGTATTAGTGTAAAATTATTAAACCAAAAATAAAAACAGCAAAGATTAAATTGTCTAACACTTGTGAGAACATTTTTTTTAGATTGAAGATCGACGTGTTCGTGCTGAACAGATTGTTATTAAACAAGGCGAACAAATTAATGAATTAAAACTTCGTTTACGTCAAACAGAAGCTGATGCAAAACGTAAATTAGTAAGTTAGAAAAGTACGTTTGAACTAGTTTTATTTTTTTCAATGAATTATTCACTTTCGGATGAATTTTATTTATGGACGACACTACACTAATCTCATTCAAATTATACACCTTTCAAACAATTTTTAAAATAAGTTTTACAGCTTAGTCTGTCTAATTTTTCTATGAGAAAAGTGTATTTCACTTGGGTGGTAGATGTGATTGAAAGCAAATGTTTGAAAAATCATCATAGATAGAGCTTGAATTATTGTTTCAATGTTAAACCTTTTTAGCTTTTCGATGTGTGTTTAGTCATAGCTATTTCTTTTGAACTGCCATAAAATTAGGTGGAGAAAGAGTACATTCATATTTAGCTCCAAATATGAACTATGAGTTAATCGGCATTCGCTTCCGTAATTTATATCTTGTTATACGGCCTTGAAATAGATGCAACTAAGTAACTTCAGACGTTGTCACCTATGAATTAAAATCGAATATAGTGATGAATATGTTCCGAAATCGCTTTATTCAATTCGGCTTCCTTGATTAAGAAAACTTCATTATTATTCAACTACATTTCCCTCAGCGTTTGCATGATATAATTTTGCTTGAATTAATTCATACAATGTTCTCTATTTGTAAACTTGAATAAAGAAAGAACAACTTCGTTAGTTCTCCTCACAGATGCTTACAACCTAATATTGATCATCATAAAATGAAACAAATATGACATATTTTTTATCGCAAAAATATCAAAAATAACCTGAGTGCATATGTGAACATAGACTAATATTGAGAGATCTGTAGAATGTGTACTTTTATGTCGAGCCCGTAGGATTTAATCATGCTTCATCGAATGGAGTTGACTTACTCGTCTTCTCCACTTCGCTTCGCTTTGATTGTATATACTTTTCATTCTGATATCTGCATTGCCTGTGAAAAAACTCATCCAACCGAATCTGTATTTAGCTTCTTATTACTACGGCCGTTGCACAAACGAGGTTCGCTTAAGTATATAATATACGGAAACCGATGGGGAGATTCATTTCATATTATATTGAATGTGTAGATAAATATATCGGAATCAGATCGCCGGCCATAAATCCATAATACGAAAGAATTAAGACTATTCAAACGTCTGCTTATGTATAGGGTATTCGAATTTTGATTAAATCTCATGAAAACAAAAAGATGCAGTTTTCATGTATAGGTTAAATATCTAAATATTCCAGAAGGGCATGGAAACAAAATGATTCTGGAGACAGAAATTAGATTACATAATATATGGGATAGTGGAGTAAAGCTCAGAAGAAATAAGAATTAGGGTATTCGAATCTTGATTAGATTTTATACAAACAAAAGGATGCAGTTTTATGTGGTGAACTCACAGAAATTTGTAGTAAACACCAGTGTTTACCAGTGTTTACATGTACTTGCCTAAGCACATACAACAGAAGAACAGAGAGGAGAGGTTTTCTCTGTAAAAGTTGGGACTAAACGGACAAAAGATTTTCAACAGCGTAATTGCTCGTCACCTGCTCGATAGTGGTCATGACGCTGAAGTTTCTAAATCTTTCAAAAAGTAATCCGCAAACAATGGAATTCAAAACCGTTACGCATTAATGAGACTTAACTCGAATCATATCTTCGAACCTTAATCTTCTGCATTACTGCTAAAACTTCTTCTATCGCTACTGCTATGTGATTTGAACTGACAGTTGCGTCCCTGTGCTAATGCGGTATAGCAACCAGAACTGATGTACGCACGCATGAAGTTCTGCGTTGCATCTGTCTGTCTGTTTGCAATAACAATTATTTAAACTGAAGCTTTGTATCCGAAAGGAAGAAGTTATCAATTTCGTTTTACTTGCCTTAGTGACCTTAAATCTTTATGTGTATTACATAAAACTGCATCTTTTTGGTTCCATAAAATTCAATTAAAATTCGAATACCCTAATTCTTATTTCTGAGCTTTACTCAACTATCCCATATATTATGTAATCTAATTTCTGTTTCCAGAATGATTTTGTTTCCATGCCCTTCTAGACATATTCAGATATTTAACCTATACATAAGCAGACGTTTGAATAATCTTAATTCTTTCGTATAATGGATCTATGGCCGGTGATCTGATTCCGATATATTTATCAACACATTCAATATACTATGAAATAAATCTCCCCATCAGTTTATATTTATAAATATTATATACTTGAGCGAACCTCGTTTGTGCAACGGCAGTAGTAATAAGAAGCTAAATACAGATTCGGTCGGATGAGTTTATTCACAGGCAATCGTTCATGCAGATATGATAATGAAAAGTATATACAGTCAAAAGGAAGGAGAGAAAGCGAGTGAGCTAACTCAATTTGATGAAGCATGGACTAAGTATTTATAGTGAGACAAAGTAAGCCAAATTAGTAATAAGCGGGGTTGGCGTGCACACACATGAGTAAAAGCAACCAAGATATGAGCGAATGACTGATAAGATCAAGAGAACAGTGAATAATAATATTTTCAGTTAGAGCTTTGGAGATTTGTGTTTTTATACATTTGAAAGCATCAATCAATCATTGTTAGACCACCATTAGAAACCTGGAAGCACTGGACGGCCGTTTCGTCCTGGTATGGGACTCATCAGTAGTGCGCATCCATAACTCATGCAACTCGCAGGATTCTAGGCAAGGACCTTCGGTCTTGCACGTGAACGCCTAACCATCGGACCACTTAACTGGCATCCAACGGTGTTAATGTCTAACTCTGATTGATCTAGGGATTTTGCGCGACCTCACCCATTTGTCTTTGGTAATTACTGCCTACACCCGACAGGGTTGAACTCCGTCGGTCACGTCTTTTCACTAGAACTCTGAGAATTTCCTCACGAAGCTTGAGGATAGCGGACTAATTCATCTGTCTAAAGGCTAGGACGAGCCCTATGTCCTCGACATAAAAGTAAACATTCTACTGATCTCTCAATATTAGTCTATCTTCATATCTGAACTGTAGTTATTCTAGATATTTCCGATATAAAGTATATCATACTTGTTTCGCTTTATGATGATTAATACTATGAGTTTAGGTTGCAAGTAACTGAAATAAATGAATTCCTGTTTTTCGGCTACAAGACTTGAACTATGCTATATATATATATATATATATATATATATATATATATATATATATATACTTTTTGTAATGTACTTTATGCAGACAGAATCAATTCAGAAATTAGAAACAAGATATCGTGATCGTGATACAAATTTCATTGATGAATTAGTCGCTGAACGTGAACGTTTAATGAATGAAAATACAAAATTAAGTTATCAAGTACAACATTTGGAAGAATTACAAGTATGTTTTCTTTTCTTTTAAAAAAAAATGTGATTCCTTTTTTTTTGTTGGTCAGATAATTCTCACATGAAATACATCTATAACTTTCTATTAAAACATGTAATATAATTTTTAAAGCTTTCAATCCTTCCGTTGTCGATATTCCTGACTGCATTCTTATCGATACATCCTTTGCGCATTGATTAAATAGAATAGAAGATATGCTTTTCTCTCCTATTCGGGATTCGCTAGTTGGATATTTACTCCAGGGCTTGAACCCAGTACCTTTCACTTTGGACATAAAACGTTGTTATCCCTTTAGTTAATTATCCAAAATACCAGCTGGCTTGTCCAACGGGTATAAATTTATTTTAATCTGTAGAGTCTAAACTAAGATGCATCTATCTGATGAGTCTTAAATAGGACGAAACGCGTTCCCTCGATTGTACTGATATTCTCTCCTGTCAATCATTCTTGTTTATCTATGAATTAATTATTACTGGTTGCTGAACTTTAATTCTTTTTGTATTCTTATCAGTGAATGCGTAAATTATTATTAAATTTGTTTATATGTGTATAACCACTGTGGATCTTTTGATTGCTACATGAAATCTATTGTGACAATCGACTCCATTAGTTGATAGATTATTTTCACAGTTGAAATTATGAATTGGTCTTAGTCCACCAGTGAAAACTAGCAAGTACTGAGGGTTGAGCATTTACTCACGAGACCGAATGACCTAGCTTTGATCCTCACGATCTGGGGTCGTGAATGTGCACTGCTAAAGAGTCCCATATTCAGATGAACTGGCTATCCAATACTTCTAGGTTTTCATTGGTCATCTAGGTAAGATCAGTTCAGGATTTTAACTGTGAAAATGCTGCGATCTGTACGAATCTCCTATCTTAATAAATTATTATCTATTTGCAGTTGTAACAGATAAGTAGTAATATAGTTACTGCATAAAAATATAACGCACAACTTATTGCATAGCACTACTTCTTTCATGAAGAAATCAGATAATCATCTTCATAAAAATGTTTACTTTGAATGTTCAGTTGTCAATTTCACCCATTTAACTGGTTCATATATGAGAGACAGTATTGTTCTTTGAGTAATTCTGTATGATATTGAATTTTAAAAGTGTTTCTGCACTTCCTAAACGGTATCATATTTATCCTCATTTTTCCCGTAAAAAAATGACTAACGTCATGATTTTATGTAAGTTAGTCAGTCAGTTAGTCAACAACAACGTAGAACGTCGTACGGATGTACATCAGTTCAAGTTGCCATACCACATCAGCACAGACGTCTCATGATGAAAGCTGAGTTCCTTTGGAAGTTAAGAGGCCAATGCCCCCTACTAACAACCGGAGCTCTTCCACAGTGTGGTCAGCTGGGAAGTAACATCCGTCCGCATACCCATAAAATCACACGAGACAAAATCGGTCAGAACCGAATTCTTTCTAAATATAAGCTAAATTGCTCATTGTTAATAAATCTGATGTCATTAATGTCTGATTGATGTAGAAAAAAAAATTTTTTTTCTCCTTTCTCTAACAAATTATTTCATAAAAAGAAAGATTAAGTCTTATAATCATGTTTTCCGTTTTTGGCTAATTTTTAAGTTGGATCAAGAACGTGGAGCTTTGAAAATATCGAAAGCATTCAATTTAGAAGGTAATTCACAAGAAAGTGTGATATCCAATTTAGAGTAAGTTATATATATATATATATATTTGTATAAAAACTTTTCATTGTTGTCATAACTCATAATTGTTAGTGCTGTAAACAATTAATCCTCTCTTTCTTATCTATAGTGTATACTATTCTGTTATTGTTTGTGTCTGTGACTAATATTAGAGGCTTTCTCGTATGAGGAGGTGGTATACAAACTACAACTACTTGAGTAGAAAAAAATGGGGATTGGTTAAGATACGTGTTTGTGAATTTATAGCGTCTTTGATACTCATTGTTCAATTTATTTGCAATATCTAGCGCTCTCGTGTCTACCTACTCAGTGAATGTTGTATATAACTGTGAAATTTTTATTTCATTGTTTAAATTTTACTTTTTTCCATTTGAGAGATTGATTGAGTCATGTTGGTGGTAGATGCAGGCCAACTGGTTCAGGTCTGGGAGACGATAGTAACCGATGGTTAGAGACCTTGAACGACATGGCTCAAAACCGTTTGCAATGGCGCAGGTGCATCTACTCTTTGTGTTCTCTCAAATTCTAACCTTCTGAATTCCTCATCATCTCTATCTTTCTCTTTCTAAATTTATCTCACTGAATTATACTTCTTGAATAATATCTTCAAACCCTAATCTTTCCGATTACTGTTTATACTTCTACTTTCTCCACCACTATTGAATTTGAACTGACGGTGGCGACTCTGTGCTAATGCTGTATGGCAATCTGAACTAATTTACGCACGTACGAAGTTCTACGTTGTAATTGATTGACTGAGAGATTGATAATGCTCTGTTGTGTCATTTTCACAGAAGATGTGTATATTTAGTTTTTATTAATTGAAATAAAGCCACCTGTGAAAATCGTACTCTCTGATATGCAGCACTCACTCAATAAATAAAAAGAATAAATGTTTGAAGGATGGTTATCCTCACCTATAGAAAGCTATTTTTCGGCTCACTGAATAAATTTATGCACAAATATTGATCTATTTCCTTTTAGAAAATCAAGCCACATTTGCAACCAGAGGTTTATGTCTATTTCTATAGAAGGTGGGGCAAAATCTTTATCAATAGCTTATTCTCATCAGATTGTCTCACTTATCATTTGTCTAATGGATACAAGGTATCAACTGCAGGAAATTAGGGTGACGCGAAGGGTACACCAATCACGAGTTATGAAACTAGTAAGAAAAAATCATGTCAGGAAGTGTTTGGCTGAATGCTTGCTGAAAACAGACATGCGTTTCGTTCTAGTTGGTACTCATCAACTAGAGGTATACCTGCATTCGATTTTAATAATACGTTTGAATCATTTCAATGACACTTGTTCTATTGTAAAATGTGACTACGGAGGTTGCAATCATAATAACCTTTAGATCTCCTGTTACTGACTCAAGAAAATATGAATTTATTCAATGTTTCATGCATTTAGTATTTCATACGTATCAACAGTTATGTCAAATTGATTTTTGAATTTGGCCTTTTTTTTGTAATGTAACAAAATGTAATCAGTTTATTATTGGTGTTATAATCATAATTAAGACCAAAGTGTTTATTCGTATTTTGCAAGATCTAGGACACAGAGAGAGAGAGATGTAATTTTAATCAAGCATAAACATATTACATGGTATGAAATGCACATACATATTGGGAAGATTGAATGAAATATCATTACACATTAAATAATATGAGTTGGACTTCTAATTAAACACCAATTTTTTTTTTGAAGTTGTACTGATGAGTGTTGAAACACACACTAGCAGAAATGTTGTCCATTGACTACCTATAAACCAGATAGATTATATTTTTAATTTCTCACTTAATAAATATTATGTTCACTTTTAGTTTTGAGTGCGTTATGCCTTATATATATATATACCCTGTCGGGTGTAGACAGTAACAGCCTACGGAAAATTTCCTAGATGGATCAGAGTTAGACATTAACACTGTTGGTTTCCGGCCAAGTGATCAAGAGGTTAGGCGTTCGCACGCAAGACCGAAGGTCCTTGGCTGGAATCCTGCGATTTACAGGAGTCGTGGATGCGCACTGCTGATGAGTCCCGTACCAGAGTGAAATGACCGCCCAGTGCTTCCAGGTTTTAAATGGTGATTAGTTTATTATTGGTAGTAATTATTATTAAGACCAAAGTGTTTATTCGTATTTTGCAAGATCTAGGACACAGAGAGAGAGAGATGTAATTTTAATCAAGCATAAACATATTACATGGTATGAAATGCACATACATATTGGGAAGATTGAATGAAATTGTACTGATGAGTGTTTAAATACACACTACCAGAAATTTCATCCATTGACTACCTATAAACCAGATAAATTATATTTTCAATTTCCCAGTTAATAAATAATAAGTATATGTATATATATAGACCCTGTCGGGTGCAGGCAGTAACTGCCTACGGCGAATGAGTGAGGTCTCGAAAATTTCCTAGATGGATCAGAGTTAGACATTAACACTGTTGGTTTCCGGCCAAGTGATCAAGAGGTTAGGCGTTCGCACGCAAGACCGAAGGTCCTTGGCTGGAATCCTGCGATTTACAGGAGTCGTGGATGCGCACTGCTGATGAGTCCCGTACCAGGATGAAACGGCCATCTTTCAGTGCTTCCAGATTTCTAATGGTGGTCTAACAATGATTGATTCATTCTTGATTTCTCAAGATAAAACACTTTAAATGAAGACTATTTAATATTATTGTGTATTTTATTTTATTTTCGATCACTTATTTATTTTCACTTCAAATTTTTATAGACGTCGAGTTAAACAATTGAAACGTGCTCAAGAACAATCAACCGAAATTATTAATGGACTACGTCAACGTTTACTTGATTCTGGTCAAATTAGACGTAAATTACAAAATGAATTATGGCATAGTATTGATGAAAATAATGCATTATCTATACAAATTAATGAACTTCGTAAACAACTGACTGATTTACATAGTGAAAAAATTTCTGATAATTTGAAAGCAACTAATAATAATAATAATAATATGGTGGGATTGAACAGTAAACAATCTAGTCCATCACTTACAGGTTTGTCGTGTATAGTTATATATAGTCATTATATTCGTTATCTATCATTCTATTTTTATTGTTGCTTAAATTCATTTGATATACTTACTGAAATGTATTGTTATATCTTGAAATACCCGATCAATATCGTGTGCGCTTATAGCCATCAACTGAAATTCTAATTTCATCTATTCTGCTTACTACTGCTTATCTCCAATGAAGCAGAAGCCGCCGAACAGTATTCATCAACCTACTCTGTGTCCTGAGCCGCCTTCCTTTCTAGTTCTGTCCAATTGTTGTACATTCTTCTCATGTTTGTCTGCATTTCTCGGTGTAATGTGTGTGTGTTCATTGAACTCCCTCTTTTCCTTTTGCCTTGAGGGTTCCATGTGACGGCTTGTCTCGTGACGCAGTTAGGTACTTTTCATAATGTGTGTCCTATTCACTACCACTGCTTCTTCCTGATTTCCTCCACTGCAATCTGGTTTGTTCTCTCCTGCAGTAGGTTGTTGCTGGTAGTGTCTGGCCAACGAATCCGAAGTATTTTGCGTAGACAACTGTTAATAAACACTTGTATCTTCTGGATGATGGCTTTCGTAGTTCTCCAAGTTTCTGCCCCAAATAGTAATTTTATCTATTCCGTGTCTGTTATCGCTTCTATAGCTTAGTGTCTCGAACTACAAATTCTGGCATGTACGATTTGCATTGAATCCACCTTTATCTCCCTCATTAAGTTCGAAAAGAAGTCAGCAGTCAGCATCTATTATTACTATTATTTTTCAAACACACAAGGGTTTACTTAAGTCAGTGAGTTACAAGGCAGAACTTCCTACGTACATACATCAGTTCAGGTTGTCATACCACATTAGCACAGAGACGCAACTGTCAGTTCAAATCTCATAGTTGTAGCGGTAGTAAATGTATTAGCAGTAATGGAAAATATTAGGGTATTATTCAGTAAGATAAAATTAGAAAGAGAAAGATAAAGATGATTAGGAATTCAGAAGGTTAGAATTTCAGAGAACACAATGAATTAATGCACATGCGCCATCGCAAACGATTTTGAGCCATGTAGTTCAAGGTCTCTAACTATCGGTTACTTTCGTCTCGTGGACTCCAATCAGTTAGCCTACATCTACCAACATTACTCAGTCCACTTGTCAGTGATTTCATCGATTTCAGCCATGTTTTGGTTCGGTCGCAACGGTTTACTTACAAAATTACTACACTGCATCTCACCACAACATGAAAAATCACCGTTTATGCATAAACGATCCATAAGTAATTGTAAATAGGATAAACTATGCAAAGTCGATTGGTAATAAAATTAGAATCATAAACAGTGTAATGATAATAATAGTTAATGGTTTAAACAAAAGCTTATAATAAACAGGATGTATATAAACACAGTTATCTAGCTACTTAACAATTATATGACGAAAATACAAATAATAATTTAAAAGAACCAGTCTCAACTTTTATAAAATATTCGACTTGTTGTAATAAGTATTGCTGACAATATACTTGGATTGTTTGTGTATTATCTGCTTTAAACTTTTTGTTGTTAAGAAGTTTATTAATTTCGGTCTTGCGTGTGAACGCTTAACTTCTAAGCCACTGAGTCAGGATCCAACGATTTTAATGTTTAACCTCTCGATCAATCCATAGTCTTGCACATCCTCATCCATTGTCTTCGGTGAGTACTGCTTCACTCACACCCGGCAGGGTTGAACTCAACTGGTCTGTAGGTGCTTCTTCGATGTTGGTTGCGTTCAGTATTGCTGCTCGATCTAAGAGTTCTTTAATGCTTGTGGATTAACTTTGGTTGGTACGTTTGTTGGTCTGTTTACGAGTTCTTCAAAACGCTCTGCTCACGTGTTTCTCTCTCTTTCGATTTCATTGATCAGTTGGCCTTGGTTAGTCGTTCTGGTTTACCATATTTTGCAGCAAGCTTTGTTGTATCGTAAAGTTATCTCATATTCCCTTCTCTTCCAAGCTTTTTCTGTCATCATTCCCAGATCTTTCACATATTTACGTTTGTCAGCTCTGATGCTTTTTTGCTTCTGTGTATTCAGCTTGAGTCTTGGCTTTCTCTGCTCATGTTCGACTGATATTGATTTCTGCCTTCTTCTTGTTCTTGCTTTCTCGGATCTGATCCAGAGTATCCTTTTGATTGTGATTCTTGTGACCTAGAACCTCATGGCACGTAAAAGTTATTACTTTCTTGATCCCTTTCCATGGTAGTTTCTTCTAGTAGATTGTGAAAGGCCTTAAACATTTTGCTGAGGGTTACCTTGAGTTCGTCGGGTTTGTCAGTAGTATCCCTAAGTAAGGCCATATCAAACTGTTGTGATATTGTTCGACTAGTGCTTCTTGAGTTTCACTTTCATTTTGACCATTACGAAGTGGTGTTGATCTGAAGCCATGTCGGCTCCTCTCTTGTTTTAGTGTCCTTCTGAACCTTTTATTAATGCAGATGAGATAGATTTCACTGTGTTCGTGTTGGAATATGGTGTCACCCATAACCATTTTGTTAAACATTCATAAATTTGCTAATCTCTCACCGTTTTCGTTCCTTTTCCCCAATCCATATCGTTCCATGATTTCTGCATATCATGTGTTGTCCATTCCCATCTTGACGTTTAGGTCTCGCGTTAAAATGGTCAGATCGTTTGCTTGGCGATTACTCGATGATCGACTGTAGCTTCTCATCTTCATTGTTATCGTTAATGGGGTGCATAGCATTGAAGGACATTCATTGTAATACCCTCCTTCTTTGTTCATGCGATTCCCATTGTATCGGTGCTTTTTTGGATAGCATCAGTTCAACTCTTTGTGTATGTGGAGAATTTTCTTCATCATGGTCAGAGTATAACAGCAGCTCTCGTGAAGCGTTTTTTTCGAACCTGCGCCTAATGTGTTCCACTTATCCAAGCAGAGTTAGGTTGTATCTTTTCATTTTCGCAGCAAACTGAATGGTTCTTCCAGTCTCCCATATTGTATAGACATTCCAGGCACTTATATTAATGGTATCGGTCTCGTGACATCTAAAGGAATTGTTCTAAATGAAGACTTTCCAACTTCCAAGGCATAGTTCAAATGGGTTGAATTATTTGTTCTGGTTAGTGTTTGTTCCTATCAAGTTCGGTTTCAGCTGGATGTGGTAGCTAACCCCCATTCCGGGAGTAATCGTAAAAGGCGACTGCATTTGGAGTTAATAAAGAGCCAGTTTTTCATTTATGATCAACTATGGACTCTGACATTTTTTCGTAAGTTCGTTCACGTTTATTTCAGGCTATTAATCAAGTCATTGAGTACCACCACCTCTTGGATGTATCGTGTTCATTGTAGCTCTTCTGTGAATGTTGAAACTTCTAATAAGATGCATAGGATGAATTATGAGTATGCAATCTGTCCAATAAATATTATTGATGCTTATAAACCTAACCAACCTCAGTTTGTTACATGTTCATCAATTGATATGCTTGAAACTATTACGAGTTCAACTTACTCGGTAAACAAGAGTGAAGACAAATGATATAGTGACACGATAGGCTATTCTGATTCGATTGTCCCCGACCCTGCTAACTATAGTAAGAAGTCTTGATGAGGCATAGAAAGTGTATTCTACAATCGCCCAGAAAATCTGAAGTTGACAAGCACACAAATCATGTATAACATGATAGAAACGTCCTTGGGAGAGCCACAAAAATAACACATCAACCAATAACAGTCAAGGATTTTCCGGATGGGAAATGTAATCTCCAGGTCAGCTGATCAGCCCATGCGCGAAAATATAAAATCTAAAATTAGGACCCAACGTCCCCAAAAGTTTCCATTATTCAAAACATCCTCTAAAATCAGTCCAGTTCTATGGTTTCTTAATTGTTTCTCATTTTGTTAAGAATATTTGTATAAACTCTTTTATAAATTCCCTGAAAGCTTTAATAAATAGATTTCAGTAGTAATTTTTTTCAACAAATCATCATCATATATATTTATATATATGAAGTATAAATCTAATATAAGATGTGTTAAATAATTATTATATTTCATTACTCTTTCATGCAGAAAAACTCTCTAAACTTGATGTAGAAAATATAGATCCAGATAAATTAAATACTAATAACAAATCCAAATACAGTACAAATCCAATGAAACAAGAAAACCCCATAGAATTGTCAAAATCTATTCACAACAAACAGAATCATCCTACTGCTAGTCAAAGTAAAAAAGATCTACCAACAAATTGTGCTACTACTTAGGTATAAGTTATCTTTTCACACCGTTTTGGTATTACATCGTTGTTGTTCGTTGTATAGCACACAAATAGAAATAATATTTGTATATTTACTTTCAAACTTACTTTATATTATAATTATTTCAATGTAATTTAAGTTTTATCTTGTGTTATATTATTTTGGTGGAATTGTAAATATATACACTATTCAATTCCGATGTTTTTAACAAGTGAATACTGCTGTAAACACCATAACACTTCCTCCGTACATCAGTACATGTTTTTGATTGCAATTTATATTGGTTTTAAATTAGAATCCGGCATTCTGTTTGAAGGTGGTCTCATTTTTGAATAATGTCATAATTTGTTGTTCAGTTGACGTGTGAATGTTGGTGAAGCTCACTAATGAATTGTGTACTAAAAACTGGAGACAAGATAATCATTCATGTATCAACTAATAAATATATATTATGAGTGAGTGAATCACCTACGTTCTTCTGTACTGTAAGTGATATGAATCAAGCGCTTTATTTTATTGAATGGCACTGACCTAGATAACACACAAAGTTATATTGTATAGTCTCATTTATTTAGTGGCACATTTAAAAAACTTTTCGACTGTCTTGTTCCTAAACGTGCACTTTATTGTTTTCGATTTAGGTCAACTAACTGTCCTTGTTAACCGTCTGCACGCACTTAAACGCTTTTATCATGATGAAACTACTGTCAATTTATATTGACTGTTCTAACTAAGGATGAGACATTAAATATACTGCTTTAA